GGGCAGGTCATGCTGAGCACACCTCACAGAGGCACCAGGTTTCCATAAGAAGTATCCACACTGTGCTCATCAGGGATTTTTGCTTTAGCTAGATGGATTCTAAGCATTTATCTCCTTTCCAGATTATATGCTGGAGTACCAAATGCAATAGACAGAGGCTTCTCCAGTTTTCCCTGGTTTCAGACAGCATTCACTTTCAGGAAGGCATTTTTCCACATGCCTAGTGCTAAGAAATAGGATATGGGGATACAGAAAGATGTTTTTTAGAGCATTAACTCAGGGAACTGACAACAGATGCTGTCAGATAAGCTATTCATCAAAGTACTATTGTGGGAATTGTACTGAGCATGCATGACAGTTCATGAAGGAAACAAATACCTTTTCCAGGCCACTCAGGATCTTCTCCAGCTCAGTTTTGGTTAGGATGCTAGCCTTCTCCAAGGCCTTAGCATAAGCCATGCTTGCCTGGATATCAACTTCAGTTAGTCTCTGCTCAGTGGATATAGAAGAGCTGAGAATCTCCATGATGGGATCTGTGCTTCCAACAAATCTTCCTCCCAAAAGTTTATCCCCCTGAGAGTAATGAAATTAAAGGACATATTTGAATGCATTATTGATACATTCTCCTAAAAATATCTCAGTGCCGTGGTAAAAGTAAAACATAATTCAAGTAAAACTGTGGGCGTGCCCCAGCATCTTCTTTTGCAGTGCTGTAGCACTGATCAAAAAGGCCTCTGGACTTAAAGAGCTTTGAAGAAAAACAAAAAGAAGAGTTGGAGTAAATGTTATTTTTGCAGGTATTGAGCCTTGAGCTGTCCAGTCCGAGTCTGAGATATTTTACCCCTGTTGGAGAGATTTTGTCTTGAAACAAGTATTAGTGCATATGGCACAAGGACTGTATTGATCTATCCTTCAAGGTCATCAACTCCCTCATAGCCTCTTGAAACACAGATGTCGGAGGCGGGGAGACTGCAAGAAAATATTCAGTTGACCAAGCGCTATGGGCTAAAAGTAGCCACACTCGTAAAGCACTCCTATAATTACGGAGTGTTTGAAGCTAACACCAAAATGGCTAAAGCGCAGACCATTCAGTATTATGAATGTTGAGTAAGAATAAAAGAGGAAGAGCAGCAAACTCCCAAATCCTCAAACACCGAGGAGCTGCGGCAGCGCCGGGCTGCAGGGCCGTCGGTACCATGGACAGCGGGCGGCTCCGGGAGCCCCTTCCCAGGCAGCCGGTAGAGAGGAGGGAAACTGTAGGCACGAAGTGCTCAAGTCTATTAACTTTTCTCTTTATAGCAGTTTGTCAGCAGGAACTGCGGTGGAGGAATCGAGCTGTGAAAGCAAGGTTTTGCAGCCCCTCGCTGGGAGCGCAACCTGCTGCTGTGAATGGACGGGGTGCTGAAGGCCAGTGTTGGGAGCTAAGCGCTTGGATGGGGAAGAGGTATTGGAATATATCTTAGTATATGGCAGTATATGAGTAGTAAAGAAGCATATTATCGCAGTATATAAGTATGTTGCAGCAAATATGTTTGCTGTTCCCTTTCCATTCAAAATTCTGGGAAAAGAAATCAGACAGAGAGAAGCACCCTGAAGCACCCTAACGAACATGACTGGATGCTCTGTGGAGCTATCAGTCAGCTATCAGCACCCCGAGAGCACCCCATCGAAAAGCAAAGTTCAGCCTCACCTCGGTTGCCATTTCGGACGACGTTTTGCTCGTGTTTGCAGCGATCCTGGCACCTGGTGCAACCTGCAGAACAGCAAAGCGAGGCTCAGTTCAGCTCTGGCTCAGCTCAGCTCTGCCCCAGCCCCACAGCAGCACAGAGCCTCCCCAGCTGCCCGCACAGCCCTGCTCACCGTCTCCGCAGCTCAGCCCTGGCTGGTTGCTCCGTGCTCTCCGGTCTCACCGCCCTGCTTTTACGTGCCTCGGAGCCTGGGCTGGCAGCTCGTCACGCCCCATTGGGGCGGGGTGTCCCCTCGTCCAGCCCAGCTCTGCCCCCCTCCTCCCCGGCCCCCCTCCTGCTGCCCACCCCTGTCCTGTGTCCGGCCTTTGCTCAATCAGGAAAAGGTCAGAGAGAGGTTTCCCAGCGGGTAGGGTGGCTGTGAAGAAGAGCTGGCAGAGATGCCCTCATGTTGCTTGTTTGTAAAGATATTGGTGTAAGAGTATCTGTGTTGGGAGAGTGTCTGCTGTGTGGTTTCACTGGCAGGTCATCTCCTTGTCAGGGAGTATCCTTGTATGGAAGGAGTCCTTTTGCTCTGGCATCCCCCTCTACATAGGTATGAATGTACTTGGGATGTTGGGTGGATCATCCACACTCCATCTACATTGCCAGCAACACACAAGAATGAAACAGCTGGGAGCTATTCTGTCTCCAGTTCCCGTGCAGATGAGCCTTTTCACCCCACTTCAAAGGACACTTCAGCTTTCAGGGTTTCTGCTGTCACCAATTGCATTGGGTCAATCTTGAGAAGGTCCTGTGAACCTGAGGCTGTGGGTTTTGTGCAGTGCCACGGCAGTCACTGGTTTGCAGCCCTGGCAAATAGCCCATGTCTTAACTCCATCAGACTCTACATATCATGGTTTTAAAGAATTGATTTAAAAAATGGGAGCATTGGAAACAGCTGCTCACAAAGCTGCTCCCCAGCACCAGTTTCACATTAGACACAGCACTTTCCTGCTCTGACAGAGCACTTGCTGGTTTGCCTTACCGTGTGCTACTACAGTGTAGCGTGCTTCCATCTGCATGGCACAGACCTTTGGCAAAGCTCATGAAACATTCTAATTTTCTCATCCCCATTTCTTCCTTCCCTTTAGCTGCCTGTCCAGTCCTTTTTCTTCTTTCTCTCAGTTCTTCAACTTGTCTCCTTTTTCAATTTACTCCAAGACATCTACACTAGGAAACTGCTTAATTGCTTGCTTTGTGATCACATCCTTCTTGCTTTGAAATCCATCATTTTTACTACTTTTCTTGTCTCTTTCACCCTTTACAAATGTCCTTGTCCTTACTCCGGGCTTTGACAGGAAATTGCTGTTCTTTTGGGAGAATCATAAGCATTCAGTTTGCAACCTGAGTGCCCCCGATACGGAGAGCATCTGTCTCATGTTTGTGGTATGGAGTATAGGTTAGCACACAGCCTAAGTGAGGACTGTATGTTTTTCTGCCTGAAGATATCCAGCAGGATGTGCCCAGAGGGAAAAAGGGGAAAAGTAACGATCCCAGGTGCCCAAGTGAGATGAGAGATCAGTAACACATTCATGTGTTATATTTGTGGTGATTAAATAAATTGTTCTAATGGATGCTGTGGGGCAAAAATGTGCAACCCATGTGCAGCCGGGTATTAATCAAAAGCAACAACTTAGCTGCATTTCTGCTGTTTTCATAATCTGTGTCTTGACCACAAATCTAGTTTTGTGATCAAGAAGGCTTCTGTGTTTGTTATCAGATGATCCTATTTTTATTAATCTATGCCTGGAATTACACATGGCAAGGACAAGTGCTTCCACATGGGATCCATCAGCGGCATCACTGTGCACTGAGCAACTTCACAGGGATTAGTTTATGTACAAACACTGCCCCAGATTGTATCTAGAAGGTTATTAATTCTCTTTTCCTGTTTTCAGATGAAACACTTCATACTGATCTCTTCTATACAGCGGGCAACATAGAATACAGAGTAATATTGTTGTAATAGAAATGGAAGTGAGGCTGTAAAGCCAATCAGAAATCCTTAATGTGAAACTGAACATTGAAAAAATAAGATGTCTTAAAGACTTTTGGGGCTGGGAAGGTTTTTTTTTTGAGGGAAAAATAGGGGAATAGAATTGCAGAATAGTTCTCTTCTAACAAACACTGAAACGTATCCTCATCATTATCTTCTTTATTTGTGCTGGTATTGCTGGTATCACTGCTGTCTGTTTTCTTCTTTCAGTCCTTTATTTGCTTAATGAAAGAATGACCCCCCAGATCCCCAGTCCCCAGTCAATCCTGAGGAGGTTCTCATGGAAGGGTGTTTTGTTGTCCACTTGTTTTCCATTTGGCACAGAGAATGGCACATCATTGATAAATTACCATTCCCAGATGACATGCAATGAAGTAGTAAGAGGAAATTGCCCATGCTGCAGCATGGAGAAGTTCAATTAAATATATTTTAATGTGCTCTAAGATTTGAATTTTATTTGTACTTGCTTTAGCAATCACATTCACATCCTTACTATTCGCAGTGCTTATTTCTGTTTTGCTGGAAGAGCGCAATACTTGCGGAGTGCAGCTCCAAAAGTGCTTTTGTGGTGTATAGAAATCCTCTATCCATAACATTTTCATAACTGAGGCTGAGGTGACAAACAGCTACAATATATCTTCTTTAAAAGCATTCTTTTTTAAGTGTCATTTTGGTTTAGAAGAATAAAAAGCGCAGTGGGCTGAAAGTGCTGGTCAAACGCAGCGTCAGCTAGACTGGTGTGAAGCAGTGCTGACATTTTTTGTTAAAAAAAAAACAAAACACAACAACCTTGTTTAATGAATTTTGAATGTAAAAGAAAAAAAGACACTATAGGGTGATCAGCGAAATGCTGAATACAGTAAACATCTTTCATGACAAAGAATACAAATACCCTGCAGATCTGCTTTCAATAGCAATTGCTAGGCCCCCTGCTTTCAATAGTTAATACCGAGGCCCCTCTCTACCAAGCCTTAGTGGTAACAATCACAAGCCAATGCTTAAAATGTTGACATGCTAAGCACATTTAGAAAAACCTATGTCTGCATTCCCTATGGATGGTGTAGCATAACTGTCTAACATCTAACGTGCAGCAATTAAAAACAAAGTTCACTGAGCTAATCACTCCATCTTTCCTGCAGAGTTGTACGTAATGGTAATGAGTTCTCTCTTAGAGATTCCCCTTGCATGATGTCAGTGGACCTGTAGCTGGTCGTTTGTGTATTTCAACCCTAACAGGCTGCATGTCTCTGCTAGGGAGAATGTAGGAAGAATATTTCTTTTGGAAAGAAAAAGGTTGAGGGCCACTGAGAGAGGCATTTGTGTTATGCTCATTCTTTCTGGCTGCTGGGATTGGGCATTGTCATTGTGGACAGTAAAAAAGGTCTGGAACAAAACTTTGGGAGAAACACTGAACACAAAGATGATAAATTGGTGCTGGGGGAGAAATCTAACAAAGGAGAAATACAATTAATATGCTGAAGATTTTGAATCCATATCTACAGAGAGTGACGAGAGGCACGTGAGGATTTGTAGGCTTCTGGAACACAACTCTGGAAATTTGGTAAAGCCTGGAAATAACACTCTCAACTGAAAGCTTTTAAATTCTTTTCTTCTTTTTAGTCTACCTGGGAGATGGTGTACAGGCAGTTTCATGGGCAAGATTAGAAACATGGCAAAGAAGTTGAAGGGCATTTGCCAACTTGCAAGGTCAGTTAATCCTGACATGAAAAAGACCAGCATCCATTGCAGCCATTCCACTGGGTCAGACAACAGCTTTCAATCGGCAGGTTAAAGACTTTTCACCTGGCTCTTTTTTTCCTCAGGACTCCATGAAAAATGATTCTGGGGTATAAAATAATTTCCATTTGTACTATAACTTGTACGTGGATGGATCCACATATCTAATGAAACTTTTTTAGGGATCTGCAAATGAAAAGGGCTGAAAAAGCCTTATGGTAGGCTTTTAAACTTTGCCAGCACTAAGGTATCTGACCATGACTGTATCTGAACACCCAAGAGCTGTTTATGGCTGAGCACTTCAGATGGCTCCTGAAGTGCTTTCTGTTTTCTCTGGCCAACAATTTGCAACACCTCAAGGAGAAACAAAGACCCAAATTGAGAGTAGATTTTCTCCTGGGTTGACTCCGGAGAGAATATTAGCTAGTGGGTTTTGTGCTGCTGCTATAAGAAGGAGGTGGTGGGTACAACATGTCTAAGCCATCTTCTTTCCTCTATTGCTCTTACAGTCCTGCCATGAGCAAGCAGTGTATGGGACTCACAGAATCAGAGAACATCCCGAGTTGGAAGGGACCCGTAAAGATCATTGGGTCCAGCTCCTGTCTCCACACAGGAACACACAAAAATCAGACCACAGCAGGACTACACATCTATACAGCAATAAGGCTTTACTTTTCTATTTGCAAATGCCTGGTATTGATTTGGAAGGACTACAGCAATGCTATTTTCCACTCCAAATAACATTTTTCATACCAAGTCTTCTGTCTGCAGTAGTTATTGTTCTGCAAGTGAAATCTGCCTTTCCTTTCAATGTACAGAGAGTCCATATTCTGTTATTTTTGAGTGGTGCTGCGCTGCGCCAGGAGTTGGACCTTGTGGGTCCCTTCCAACTTGGGATATTCTATGTCTGTGATTTTATGGTATATTCTCATCCTCCGTATGATCCGGAGGGACTCGTAGGTGCATCTATTTTAAAGGTTTGTGAATGCCTGAGAGGTCTTTTATTGCAATGCAAAGATGACAGAAATCTGTCTGCCGACCAAGGTTGGCAACAGAGCATAATCTAGGTGGGAAAATGAATCACCAGCGCAAGCATTGGTGGTTCAGTGGTAGAATTCTCGCCTGCCACGCGGGAGGCCCGGGTTCGATTCCCGGCCAATGCAGTTGCTCTTTTTCGCTTGTGAGAACGTTTTCTGTTTTTTTTTGTTTGTTTGTTTGGTTGGTTGGTTGTTTGTTTCTGCTTTTTATCGGTCGTTCCTCTTCGTTTTCAGCTTCCTCCCTCCTCTCCCGAACTTCCTTCAGCCTCACCTCACGCTCCCGTCCGGCTGCGCTGCGGCAGGGGCCGCCCCTTGCGAGGCGGTGTCCTCATCGCGCGGCTGCGCGGGGCGGCGGACAAGATGGAGGTGTAAGGAGCGGGGCGGGTTTGGGCTGCGGTGCTGCTCCGCGTGCGGGCTGCCGGGCCGCGCTGCGTGTGGGGTTTTTATTGTGTGTGCAGATACAGTCTGTGTGCGTCTGAGCCGAGCGCCTGTTTACCTTGTTGGCATCGCTGTGGGGCGCGGGGTGATGGTGTTTGTCCTGTGCTGGGGCCCAGGAGGGCCTTCGGTTCTAAGAAAGATTATTTATTCTTTTGGTGCGTTCCTTTTTAAGTCTTCGTCTGGGACTGATAAGTTTTAATGCCGCAAAAATGAATTCTGTAGCGTTTTTGAAGCAGGGTTTGCTTTCCAGCTTTTAGCTCTGGAGCTTCAGCACAGCAAGCAGTGTTGAAGGCTTAAGATCTAGGCTGGCTCATTTACCATCCACTGTAAGAAGGAAAATAAGCATGGCGGTGTTTTAAAATTGGAAAAAAAAAAAAAAAAAAAAAAAAAAAGCGGTTGTTTTAAATAATTTAATTTCTGATAGGTTTCCCAGGGACCCGTTTTCCCAGTGATGTATTTACTCTATAGATCCTCTCACTTTTGTCACCCGATGATTCCCCGCGCAATTGGCCAGCGGTGTTTTGATTCCTAACAAAGGGTGGCTTTGATCCATAGGGATTTGTGTAGCATGGCCTGGATGCAAAGATTCTGAAGAATTGCATTTACCTCACAACAGAAGCTATAGGGTTTGTAAAACGTGAATGGCAGCTGCGTGAGCTCACTGGCTGAAGCTTGGCTCGAGTCAGCAGAATGGAAGTTGGAGTTCATCTCAGCGTATTTTAGGAGGTCCTTTTCATTTAAAAACAATGATGGAACCTGTGGAAGTTTGTGGATGCATTTAACGCATTTGAAAGCGATGAACGGGACGCTTCTATTCAGGCCGCGGATGGTGCTTAACAATACATTGTACCTTTTTTGTTGTTGTTATATGCACAGACCTGAGAAAAGCCTTTTTTTTTCCTTCCTTTTGTATGGCAACTTGCTGTTGTTGTGGCTGCTGACTGCTCAGCACAATGTATTGTGAGGGGAATGTATGGTGTCCTGTGTCAGGCTTTTCTATCCCCTTTTTTTAATTTCCGAGTACAAAATTTCAATATGCGGGAGTAATATGGGAGTAATATAATCATGTAATATAGGAGTAATATAGTATATAGTAATATATAGTAATATATTCATGCTGTCTGCTGCTCAATGCATAGTTTCAGCTTGGCTTTCAAGGATTGCCTGCTTGTGCTTAATGGACGCCGTGTTCCTTCTTCATAGAAGTACCACGCAATATAGGTGCCACAGTTGCACCATTAGTTTAAAAACACATTTAACTCAATGAGAATGCAGTCAGCTCACCTATGGTGGACAGCAAGTGTTTCTTAATTGGGACAGAATTAATAAGTGTAGGGCTGGTGGGAAACAGGGCACTCAGCCTCGTGATGCTGGAGAAAGAGCAGTCATGTGAAGATTGAAATAATAAATAAAGAGGGATTTTGATAAGTTTTTGTGTGGCTGTTCATTTGTTTTTAGAATTCAACATGTGTGTGAATTGAGTGGCATAGCTGTACTCACTCATACATGCATTGTATAGGAATAGTAATTGTATTTTCTTTCCTTGTTCTTTGCTAATAAATAAATAGTCTGTGCAATCTTAATGACTTTTCCTGTCATATACAACTGGATGCCTTTCTATGTAAGAGAGAAGGTTTGGGTTTAGTTGGTGAATTTGGGTGAGTGGGTCTGAGTAAAAGGAGTGCGAGATGGAAGCGTGTTATGGGTGGTGGGACAAAGTGCACCAAATATGATGGATGTTTATGGCACGATTATGCTGTGGAAAAATAATGCTTTTCCTGATGTGGCACCAGATTGGTAATGGTAGATTCCTCACAGATAAGTTTCTGAATGGTTTTGTGAAGAAATATGAAAATAGTGTCCGTTCTTTTAGAGCCTGTGATTCTGCAAAGAAAAACTGCAGACGGTTTCATTTGGACCGTAAATGATTGTATTCTTTTTTCTTTTCTTTTAGAAAAGATGCGAATGCTGCACTGCTGAGTAACTTTGAGGTACGTCTGTCTCCATCCTGATGCTGAACCAGCACTGTGATGCTGTGCTCAGTCACCTGCACGCTTCTTTTTGAAGTGAGACCTGTCTATGATTATTGCTTTGTCCTCCTATTTTATTTGTTATTAAGGAAAAAGAAAAAGGAAATCTGGAGAGTCTTATTTTCTAGTGTAGGTAAGTTTGTAATTACTCTCCTATCTCCAGAGTAAAGATGCATTTTTGGTGGGTTTTTCTTTTAATGAGGTAGAAAGAAATTAGAGGGGATTTGATCCTTATATAGCTCCCTTCTGACTCAGGGTGTTCTGTGACTGTGATGTTCACACTGGTTGAACTTCAGCCAGGTGACAGAAAGCTCTCCATGCATTGTTTATGAAGGTGACTTTTGAATGATTTCAGTAAACCGTATTTTTTCTTTATATTGGTTTAATGCTGAGGCTTAAAGTTGCACAGCTGTTTTATCCTATTCTGAAGCAAATCTTAAAGTGTTTTCCCTCAAGCTGTGTGTGTACAGCAAAACAACCGTCTGGTGGCTGTTAGAAGAGCTTTAATGAGGCACTTGGAGAGAGCTGTCTTACAAAGAAATAGATTTGAGCCACACTGGCACTAAGTATCTGCTCAAAATAAGCGTACTATTGCAGTACAGAAGATAGCAAGTATTTCGGAGGTTATTTATTGCAAAATCATCTCTGCTTCCTTCTTTGGATGATGGAACTTTGGTATTACTGGGGCTCAGTTGTGGCATTGGCCCCATTTTGTGAAATCTGTGGGTGTCCCAAAGGGGTGGCGTGGAGCAGGGAGAACTGCAGAATCGGTTCATTGTGTTCTTTGGACAAAATTCTGTTTGGCTTTGTCTTGATGTTGGTGAATGTACCACATATGTTGAAAAAGAGCAGAAGGAAGTGGGGAAAATGAAGTTACTGATGAGTGCTTATTCAGCTTTTGTCATGTGTGCAGCTTTCAGCCCTTTGCAGGAAGGGATTTGCAGTGCCTGCAGCTACATTGGACATGGCTTTTTACTGCTCTTCAAGTTACTGATTCCCTTAAAACTATGGACCTCTTTCTGTTTGCTTCTCTTTTCTCTGATGGCATAGCTCACATTCTCTTTATCAAGGTAATATTTTGCACAGAGACTGGTGTTTGAAAGGAGTGTTCAAGACTGGTGCATTTAATGTTCTATGCCTGAATTTCTTTTGTGAGCTTGGGGTTGGTTTTTGATGCCTCATTGTTAGCAGTCATGTCGTCTTCATGTTGTCTGCTACTCAATGCATAGTTTCAGCTTGGCTTTCAAGGATTGCCTGCTCGTGCTTAATGGATACAGTGTTCCTTTTTCATAGAAGTACCACACAAAGTAAATGCAGGGCTCCTAGCTGCTGTGTTGGTGTTTCTCACCATCTAGAAATGTTTGCATTCGTCCTTCTTAAGTTTATAATTTCAGTGGAGCTTGAATTAAGCCAGTTACCAAGAAGAAGCACTAAGAAGTGATGTGTTACTGTGCTGTGGATATTGGCTTTGGATAATCTGTAAAGCGAAGGGAAAACATCTGAAGAAATTTCAACCAGATGTGGTGTAATATGGCAATCAAGCAGTAATTGTGAGGCTTTCTCAGTATTTTGCTGCTCATCTGACTGTGACACGTAAAGAAGTTGTGGTGTTGCAGCTGATCTGATAGTTGCAAAAATCAAAATGTTTTCCTTGCATTCAGGCTTATCCTCTGGATCTCCCTCATCATAAGTGTGAAAGTGTTGCTGTTACATCTGAGGGAATTTTCTTTGGGCATCTTACTTGTATTTAAATAGGAGCTGTGTGCTGTCACAGTGGTGTATGTAGAGCAGTGTGTGTATCCCGCTCTGTTTAGGACGTGGCATAAGATAAACAGAATAGGTTTCTCATGCTGATTTCTCTCCTAGGTCTCTTGGATAACATGTAATTAGTGCTAGGAATCTGTTTGCTCTTGCTTTGATGGATTTACACATCTCCTTATTCACCTTCCTGTTGCTAGAATATTTTCTCATTTTACCTGCTGGTGCAGTCAGCAAAGAAGCAGTCCTTTTTGTAGTTTCAATTGCTTGCTAGGATTTTGGGTTGCTTGTTTTCCCAATGTCATATATTTAGGTAAAATGCTCTCAAATGACTGCAAGCATTTTGTTTGCTCTTTTTCTAGGTGTTCCAGCTACTCACTGATCTTAAACAGCAGCGCAAAGAGAGTGGAAAAAGCAAGCAGAGCTCTGGTCAGCAGAATCTGAACACGATCATGTATGAGGTGGGTGACTGTAAAATACCCCCAGCTGCACTGATTCAAATTGTTAGGCCATTCTGCATCACCTTTACCCTCGTTATTTTTTTTTGGTCAATTTTCATAATCTCTGGTCAGTTTATTCAGACTGTGTGCTGACTGCACTACAAGTGCAGAGCCTTGCAGCTGGTTCCATGTAGCGATACTTTTGTCAGTGTGATTTATAAGCTCAGATGTGTTGTGATGTGATCATAGCTTGGATATTTCTAGGGTCAGTTCTGGCTGCATTTTAGATCTCCTGTTGTTGGGTGTTGGATCACTGGATCCATCTGACTGCCCAGTAACTTTGTGCTCTCATTGCAGTTGTTCCCCCTTTCAGTGGGAGCAAGTAATGAAGCAGAGACATAAGTCTGACCTGGGTAATTTTAGGCTGAGACTGCCCAGTGCTGCCAGGGAGGAGTTTGGAAACTGCAGACACCAAATATGCATCACCAGGCTTCTCCTTTCTCTGGAAGCTCCAGCTTCCCATCTTCCCAGATAACAGAGCACTGCCTGTCCTGCTGTAAGAAAGCTCATTTTCAGGAAGTTTTCTTTAGCTGGGACATGCTTGCAGATCGCAGACTTTGGCTCTGATTAAAATTCTTTACAAAAGGAATAAAAAAAACCGTGGGGTTTTTTGTTCTGTTCTTGTTTTAGTGTTTGTTTGCTTGTTTGTTTTAGAGATGGCACATATTATACCCTTATAAGACCCAGGCCAGAACTTGCTATTGTGTGATTAATTGATGATGCCATCTAAGCATGGTTTCAGAGCTGAGGCACAGATCACACTGGGTGTTTTCTTATAAACAGAATTAAACTAATAATTTCCAACTAAAATAGTGCCTTGCTCTTCTGATAAAATCTGACGATTGGAATCACAAAATTACTAGTACAAATATTGACAGCAGTTGGATGCCAGATTGGTAGCAAATGTTTAACCTATTGCTAGAAAGAGCTAATCACATTGTAGAATACAGATGTTAACATTTTGAATACACCAAAGTAGCAAATTCTTAGCACACTTGAAATATGACCTCTTGTGTCCGTATCAGAGGACTGCATGAGCAGCACTGTGATTGGCAGCCAGTTGGAAGCAGATTGCCTTGCTTGCATGAGTGATCCCACTGAGTGGTGAAACTACTCGTGTGAAGAAGATTTGGCCTAGGCTTTGTTTTTCTATTAGTTCTGCCTTTGTTTGGATAGGTACAGAGCTGTAATTCCTAAGCCTCAGATTCAACGAAATAGAGGCTTACCAAAAAAGCTAATTTAAATCTTCATGGAGACTGACAGTCTCTTCCTCTGCCTCTTTCAAACAGCTCAGAAAGACCCTGTGAGTATATATATTTTCATTTTCATTATTTTTATGCTGGCATGCAGCTTAAAGCTTTAATTACTTCACTGCTACATGTTAAATACCAATAGGATGCTCCTTTTTTATCCAGGGAGCGAAGCTTGAAGTATAAACCCTGGGTACATTTTATTCTATGTTAGGCTGGAAGAGAACCAGATATGTCATCCTACTGTTTCTGCTCATGCTGGGTATGTCTTGCTGAGTTCTGTGCTTGCATGTATCCATTGGTATTGAAGTAAGCAGACACAGCTTGTTAAACGAGGAGCTGTGTTTTGGTGCACATCAGGCACTTCAGTTGGAGGTGTGGAAAAAGACAAACTTGGAGAAGAAACTGCTCCTTTAAACAATTGTATTGAGTGACAATAGGTGTCAGCTGTCTTGGCTGGTAAATAAGAAGCCATTTTGTATGAAAAGGGCAGCTGACTTGCAGCAGGAATCGTTGTTTGACCCCTTATTGTGCTTTTAAATGCGTTTCTCAGCAGCCCAGTGAACCTGGTCATTAAGAATACAGCAATCCATATTTGATCAACTCTCTTAAGCAGAAGTGCTGTTGAAGCCTATTTTTCTTTACCCAGGCTTGTAAAGTAACAAATTTTAATGGAAGTATGCAGGAAATACATTTGTATATCTTATTTGACACGATGGTCTTGTAAAACTTTTTTTCCCACTGTCTCGGTTTCTGCTGTGTAAACTCAATCAGCTGACTTGGTTTCAGACAGTTAAATATAAGTATTCACTTTAAAGACTTTCTGAGAATAGTTACAAGTACAGAAGAAACGTCAGAGCATAACATACAGACTTAGAGATCCTGTATTATTATTACAGCTGCTGTGTGCCTATGGTATCCTGGTTAATGTGCCTCATTGCTCCAGTTAGTTGGATGGGTTGGATGGTACTTGGAGGCTTTGTGTACAGCTGCACAGTATCAACAGCTGCAGATTTTCTTTTCTTAATTCAAAGCAGACTTTGCCAATGCTCTTTCAAATCCTGCAGTTGCTGACGCACACAGTGCAGACAATGTGAGGATTTCCTGGACCTTTCTTTTGTTTCTCATTATTCCCAACTCTTCATTTTGGGCTACTTCCCATGCACAGACAGCCAGGAAATTGAGTTCAATTTATTTCTTTTTAAGAGTTATATTACCAGTACTGTTTTTCAATCTGCTCAGTTCCAGTTCCATAAGGTATGATCTGCCTGCTAGGTGCTGTGTTGCTTTAAACAAAGGAGAGCAGATGTAACATGTTGCAGCAGTTAGTTGAGGCTGGTAAGTTTTACGTTAAAAATGGAGCAGAAATAAATGGTCTCAAGGCAGATGAACATTGCTGATACTGCACTAACCTTGCCAGATGTTCACAACCCAGCTAACCTGCCTCTATCAGCTTTAAGAAAGCACTGCCAAGAACCTGTATAAAAAATGAAAACAGCTGTAGACTGGAGAGGCATTGCTAGCATTGTGCAACTGCAATGCCTTCTAATGGATGAGCAGTGGGAGCATTCCTGGCACGGAATTCATTAAAACTTGGCAGGAGTTGAGTATGGTTTTAAAGATGAACAGTATTCAGCTTTTCCCAAGTGTTACGAGCTACTACAAAGCATTGAACGTGTGCACCTGTACCTTTTTCAGCTAGCTTTGAATCTGTTGGTTTTAAAATGACAAATAAAGCTGAGTGATGGTGTTCAGCACAGCTGTATCACAGTCTGAGCACCAACTGAGATACTTAATCCAAATCAAGAAAGCAAATGCTTTCTAAAGATCACTCCTTGTCTGTAGCCTTCAGTTGGCAGCTTGGGTTCTGGGCAGAAGAAATGACCATCCAAAGCCACAGGGGGAGTCATCCAAGCTGTAATTGTAGCCTGAAGTGTAATGAGCTCTCTGGGTCATATCTGTGAAACGAATTCACAGGTTTCCTGGATAAGCACTAATGTAATTTTCGTTACATGAGGTTGAAGCTCTGTGTTGCCCGTTTCTTACTCCATTGAGAAGTATCAGTAGAGTCTTACTGAAGAAGGAAATATGAGATCTGTGACAAAAAAAGTAAATAATAATTAGAAAAAGAACCTTTAAAAGCCAAAATGACAGTATGATTTTTTTTTTGTTTTGAGCGTTCTTCAAAAATGCCTGATTTCATAGCCAGCATGGGAAGAGAAGAGTAACTGGTGGCTAATGCATACTTTCTTGCTATTCCTTGCAGACACTGAAATACATCTCAAAGACACCGTGCAGATACCAGAGTCCTGAGACTGTCAAAGAGTTCCTCGCTGCAATGAAGGGCCATAAGCTGACCAAGTAAGCAGAGATCCATCCTTGAGCAGAAGTATAAATTAATAGGGATGTTAGGAGGTTCTCCCATACACAGTTTGACTGTCTGGTTTTGAGGAAGGTATTGGAAGCCTTTTGTCGTTTCAGTATTCATCCAGACGTCTTTCCCCTCACTCATGAACACCTACAGGCATGAGGATTCCCTTGAGTTTGGCTGTGTTCACAAATGTATTTTTCAGTACTTTGTCATTTACTTTGTCAGTGCTTTGTTTTTAGTGTGGTTTCCCATTGTCCAAGCATGAAGTAGAATTCATGAAATGTTCTGAAGAAGCTGTAAGTGGGTTTCGAGCAAGATAAGAGAATGAAGAGAAACGAGCCAGAAACAAACCCAAAACAAAATCTCAGTTTATTATCCATGTTCTTATTTTTATGAACTTTCTTCATTAAAAAAAAAACAACCCAAAATCATGTTTATTCTGAAGAGATGGAGAAAATGGCTGAGTTACAGGGAGGTAATGAATGCCTGTTACAGGTGTTTGGGAAGCCTGGTCTTCTGAAGCTAAGTGTCTCCTAAAGCTGTGAACCCCACATCCAATCTCAGGATTATGCTAATCAATGTTTAGCAAAGTAAGATATACATCACCCATTTTTGTGCTACTTGTCAGCTATTATTAGTGCTCTCTAGGACTGTGGAGTTACATGTTTCTATTACTGAAATGTGGCAATCCAGCATTCCCCCCTACCCCTGCAGTCTTTTGTAAAGCTGAACATACAGTCCCTTATTATGGCAAGACCTGCCTAGAAAATCCAAGATTTCCATCACAGTTACAGGAAGACTCAGGAGTAGTGTTTCTCTTTGGTGTGAATGCCTTTCATAGTACTAGTAATGCTTAATGCTGTCGGACACCTCTTTGGAGTGTAAGTGAAGCCTGTTGTAAGTAATTAGAGCCAAACAAAATGGAATCAGAGGGCTGCTTGCCTGAATAGCTTTAATCAGTCATCTGCTTCTTAAAGCAAAAAACAAAGACTCAGTTGCTCCTGCATGACTGCTGTGAGGGATTAGTTCATGCTGTATGTACACTGACTGCATTTTTCTCAGCTGTTGGTTCTCGTAAGGATTTCATCCTCTGCAGAGGGGCTTTTGCTGATTTGGTTGTCACAAAAAGAAGTGCAAGTTGTGAGCAGTGCTACAATGCAAGGGTTTATCCTTGACAAAGCGCAGTTGAGTAGAAAGCAGACTCAGCCAGCTGTTCTGTTGACTTTTCAGTGACCCCTCTCTACAAATCGTTATCCTCCCATTCAGTCTATCAGCAGCTCAGATCTCAGCGTCCCTAACCCCTGATAGAGGAGGCTGGAACTTGGAAGCTTTGTCATGAGTATTGTAACTTTGCTTGTAAGTGCTTTCCTTTGTGGAACAAAAGTTGCCGGGTCGGTGCGTTGCTGTCTAGCTTCTTGCAGCTCATTTTATAAAGTACGGTTCTAATTTATGTCGTGGGCAAGCTATCCTAATTATTTTCTGGATTCAGGCAAGGAGAAAATGCTCTGTTTACTGTAAAGAGCTGAGTTTCTGCAAATCATAGAAGCACCGAATCATTAGGGTTAGAAAGGACCTCTCAGATCCCCAAGCCCACCCCGCTCCTCGATGCCCACGGCCCTCAGTGCCACATCTCTGCAGTTTTGAACACCTCCAAGGATGGTGACCCCACCACCTCCCTGTGCAGCTGTGCCACTGCAGCACCTCTCTTTCTGAGAAGAAATTTTTCCTATTTCCATCTCCTTTCTGATGGAATTTGACCAGGACCTCTGGGTTAGCTCTTAGAAAAAGGCATGGGAGCTCTTTTACCATGTTAGATACCTCTGTTTCCCAGGATCATCCATCTGATTATGAGAGTGAAGTACTAAGTAATATTGGGTCATAATGCAGAGAATTCCAGCTATAAATCTCTCACTGTCTTCCCATAGGGCCCCACTGTTCTGCAGATCTACTGAAATACTTGCCTTCCTAAGCCGGCTGCAGAGGTCAAAATTGTTAGAAGCTATAAATGAGTTTTTGACTATTTTTTTCATCTCATGGCTGCCAGGAGGTGCCTTTGGTTTTAGGTGTCATTTTCTCTGATTTTTTTTCTCCTAATCAGAATCTGTAAGTGAAGCAAAAGAATTGCTCCCAGTAATTTCCTTCTGAGAAGTGGGGAAAAAAGGGGAGAGCAGAGAGCAAACCACCAGCATAGGTTACAAATTTACAGCGTTCATCACTTATCAGAACTCAGATTGGACTGTGATACTTCAGTTTCTTGAGCATCCTTCATGATTTTACTTTCAGTCCTCTGGTAGAGAAGTTGCCAGCGCTGTGATTGCCACGTACTTCACAAAATAAGAAACAGAATTGTTTAGTGTGGTCTTGGCACTTGGTTTCTTCTAATCTTTTCCATTCAGGCACTTCAAGCTAGAACTGTCAAGAGCACATCTGGCACCACTTCTTACCAAACGCAGAAGGCATATGTTATGCAATTACTATATAATGCACTGTATGTTGAATGCTCTAAAGTATTAATGTCTCCAAGGAAATATTGAGCTTCCCTTTGGTCCATGTCCAAGACCATTTCAACACTGCTCAGTTGTTAAATGAAAAACTAAAGGCTTTAATCAATTCCATTCCGTGGAATGGAGGTGTTATTTGTATGAAAGGCTTCGCTTGAGATTTCTTTCCAGTTAGCTGATGGAGAGCTTTCTTCCCCTTGGAGATGAAAGAATCCGCAGTGTTTGCTTCCATCATTTCACTGTAAATGACTTTTCCTCCCTCTGAAAGTAATGAACTCCGGAGTCTGTCGTTGCTACTTCCTTTCTGGATAAGGATCCAAAGAGCTGGCTCTCCCTTAACCTCTTAGATGCTCACACCGTATTTTTGTGGGTAACAGTTTTCTGAAGCAGCTGATTTAAGGTCTCTTAGTTCTTAGTCTCTGCCCCGGCTGAGGGGACAGCAGCGTCTTCTGTTCTCTCGTTGTGAGAGAAATAGATGTGGCAGGTTTGGAAACAGGCTGTTAATTAGTCTCTGCAATTTCTTTTCTAACGTGAGGACTCGGAGAGTTGTTGATCCATGCGGGGCTTTTATGACAAGGAGGATTTGCAGCTGTGTCTAAAGACGTGGTGGAGGTGCGTAGGGCAGCAGGACTTCCCCTGCTCAGCTGTTGCTGCTCTCAAGCACTAGGTTGTGCTAGAGTATCTGAGAATGTCTGGGTGGTGGAGAAAGGACAGACTCCATCCAGAGAAGCAACGATCTGTGGATTGAGGCACATTCATTTAAATAATGAATCTTTTAATTAAGCAAGCGTTCTCTTTTTCCTGCCTTCCTCCTGCAGGTTACAGTACAGAACTCACTGCTGATCAGGCTGCTTGTGGTGTCCCAAGATAGAAGTTCTGGCTGCTGTTACAGAGCTGATAGTGTTGTGCTGGCAAATTGTGCAGTTTCTGTAAGATCATCCTGAAAGCCTTTGCTGATATTTGCTGCTGGAATTACCAGCATCTCAGGCCAATGCTGCTTTTCTGCTGACACTCCTCTACTTTGTGATGCTTTCTTTTGACAATGGCACACACAGGGAGAAAAGAAAAGAGGCAATTTTCCAATTAAATACGTGTATTACATATAAATGCATGTAAAAACCATTTACACCTTTCAGAGTAGTTTCAGATAGCTGCCCTGCTAAAAGGAGCGATTTCCAGGACAACTAAACATGTGTTCTACTGATGCAGTCAGCAAAGTATGGCACAGCACAGCTTTTTCCTTGTCACCAGTTATTTTGGCTAAAAAAAAAAAAAATTGCAACTGTAGAACTGAGGGATTTCTTTTTTATAATGAAAAAAACTCAGAACTGACATCATAGTGAGTTTTATTTTTACCTTGATGAGGCCTCAAGCTTTGGCTGATGCTGCAGTACAGTAAGCTGTGTTGTACTTGGAAATAAAGCAGCTAATTTTCCAGTTTTAGTCTCTGGAATAGTTTTTAAGGTGGTGTGAATGGCACCGCATGAAAAGAACATTTATTAAGCTCATGCTCTGTATTTGTGATTAAGTGAAAACTGGCTCTCCTGGTACCTCGTTCTGTTCCTGATAACCTGTCCTGGATCAAAATTAGGAATAATCAATTTTCCAATCCCTGAATATTATTAGTATTATAAAAACAGGACATAGACTTGCACTTCTTGACTTGGAAGTCAACACGTTCAAGGAATTGCTGTGCTGAAAGTCAGTAGTGCTTTTAGAAAGTATTTTCCCCCATTGCTGCCAAAAACTACAACAAAGTTAAACCTCTACAATACTTAAGACTGAATGATTTCCTCTGTAATTTTTTTCTCCACTAAAGCTTTCAAAGTGAATATTCAGCACCGAGAGCAGGAGGATGGTGATAGTTTAACAACAGCATAAAGACAACTGCTGTTTCCCATCAATGTGCTTGGATTTAATCCTTTGCTCTGTAGCAGTTTTTTTTTGCATTCTGGTGCAGTTGTCAAGCCATAGAGTTCATCCTGGATGTGTGTGCCAGCACCAAAGACCCACATGGAGAGGACAGCCTGGTAGGTTTGTGCTGAGCATGCACAGACTGGGGCTGTGAGAGCACAGACAGCTCAGGGCCGCTCGTCCAAAAACCAAATCCTGTTCTGTTCAGACAGGAGTTGTCTTGGTTGACACGAGGCCATAGGATCTGCCTTACAGATCTGATGTTTTCAGTTAGTAACAAGGCACACTGCTAATGTGTACTGCTGTTATTTTATAATTTTCCCAGCAACTGAAATACACACATTCCTGAGGATAAATCTGGCTTTGCGGTTGCAGATGTTTTAGGGCTTTTTTTAGCTCTGTGTGCTGTATCTTGGCACAAATACTGTTCTCTTCTTAACTATGCCTTTAGATCTTACTGGTAACTTACTTTTTCTTCCTAGAAAGCTGAGATATATGTGCATTTAGGGGCAGTCTGGGAGTTCAGTAGGTGGAGGTGGGGAAGCAGTGCTCAGCCTCATGCAATAACTGCCATG